GGCCCACAGCAGCCATTCCCCCAAAATCTGTCTCTGGCTGTCTCTATCTATGGATGTAAGGAGACTTGTTCATAGTGCCAGCTGGGAGTACACACACACCAGGGGGGCTCCATGGGACCCTACACCCTGAGAGCGGATATTAGGGCCAGCACCCAGAAGCAATCTCATTCTGTATGGAAAGGAGGCGGGAATACACGAAGCACCTGAAATCACTTATAACAATGTCACTTTATCATCACTTCAATACCTCCACATTTCAGCCAAAACTACACATGAGGTTCAACACTCCCTAGAGTCCAACGTGACCTGTAGCATTCCAGTTCTGAGGATAATACCGGGTGTCACACACACAGTACACACATAGGGTGTCACCGCTTCCCACACACAGGGTCTCACCCGCTTACACACACATTACACACAGGGTGTCACCCACTCCCGCACACATTACACACAGGGTGTCACCTGCTCCCACACACACATTACACACAGGGTGTCACCTGCTCCCACACACACATTACACACAGGGTGTCACCCCCTTCTCACACAGTACACACAGGGTGTCACCCGCTCCCACACACACAGGGTGTCACCCCCTCACACAGTACACACAGGGTGTAACCCGCTCCCACACACACAGAGTGTCACCCCTTCTCACACACAGTACACACCGAGTATCACCCCTTCTCACACACAGTACACACAGGGTGTCACCCCCTCACACACACAGTGTGTCACCAGCTCCCACACACACAGTACACACAGGGTGTCACCCCTTCACAAAACACACAGTACACACAGGGTGTCACCCCTTCACAAAACACACAGCACACACAGGGTGTCACCCCTTCACAAACATACAGTACACACAGGGTGCCACCCCTTCACAAACATACAGTACACACAGGGTGCCACACCCTCACACGCACAGTACACACTGGGTGCCACACCCTCACACGCACAGTACACACTGGGTGCCACCACCTCACACGCACAGTACACACTGGGTGCCACCACCTCACACGCACAGTACACACTGGGTGCCACCACCTCACACGCACAGTACACACTGGGTGCCACCACCTCACACGCACAGTACACACTGGGTGCCACCACCTCACACGCACAGTACACACTTACACAGTACACACAGGGTGTCACCCCTTCACAAAACACACAGTACACACAGGGTGTCACCCCTTCACAAAACACACAGTACACACAGGGTGTCACCCCTTCACAAACATACAGTACACACAGGGTGCCACCCCTTCACAAACATACAGTACACACAGGGTGCCACACCCTCACACGCACAGTACACACTGGGTGCCACACCCTCACACGCACAGTACACACTGGGTGCCACCACCTCACACGCACAGTACACACTGGGTGCCACCACCTCACACGCACAGTACACACTGGGTGCCACCACCTCACACGCACAGTACACACTGGGTGCCACCACCTCACACGCACAGTACACACTGGGTGCCACCACCTCACACGCACAGTACACACTGGGTGCCACCACCTCACACGCACAGTACACACTGGGTGCCACCACCTCACACGCACAGTACACACTGGGTGCCACCACCTCACACGCACAGTACACACTGGGTGCCACCACCTCACACGCACAGTACACACTGGGTGCCACCACCTCACACGCACAGTACACACTGGGTGCCACCACCTCACACGCACAGTACACACTGGGTGCCACCACCTCACACGCACAGTACACACTGGGTGCCACCACCTCACACGCACAGTACACACTGGGTGCCACCACCTCACACGCACAGTACACACTGGGTGCCACCACCTCACACGCACAGTACACACTGGGTGCCACCACCTCACACGCACAGTACACACTGGGTGCCACCACCTCACACGCACAGTACACACTGGGTGCCACCACCTCACACGCACAGTACACACTGGGTGCCACCACCTCACACGCACAGTACACACTGGGTGCCACCACCTCACACGCACAGTACACACTGGGTGCCACCACCTCACACGCACAGTACACACTGGGTGCCACCACCTCACACGCACAGTACACACTGGGTGCCACCACCTCACACGCACAGTACACACTGGGTGCCACCACCTCACACGCACAGTACACACTGGGTGCCACCACCTCACACGCACAGTACACACTGGGTGCCACCACCTCACACGCACAGTACACACTGGGTGCCACCACCTCACACGCACAGTACACACTGGGTGTGCCACCCGCTCACACACACGCACAGTACACACTGGGTGCCACCCGCTCACACAGTGCACACACACACACAGGGTGTCACCCCCTCACACAGTACACACAGGGTGTCACCCTCTCACACAGTACACACAGGGTGTCACCCCCTCACACAGTACACACAGGGTGTCACCCCCTCACACAGCACACACAGGGAGTGACC